GTCTTGTGAATGTATATAATCTGTCTTTTGATCTAAAGTCAAGAATGGCTCATCCATTCTGATTTAGTGGTGTTGGATTTTATCTATATTTTGGGGGCAATTTTTCTAATCTATGCTATTAACACTTCATATTACTTTTAAATTATAAGCATAAGTGATACTGAAAATCTCTTTACCAGGACTGTATATGAGTACGCTGAATAAAGTGGGATTTTTTTGAAGTTCTAAAATGTTTTAATTCCAATATCTTTTTTTCTGTGTTAATTGGCCACCACAGTGCTTTTTCAAGACATTATATGCCGTCACGTTGACATATAAAGTATATGCATTGCTTTAAAAAGCCGGATTATCTGCTGTTCCTGCTGCATAGCTGTAGTCGATCAGTGCACATGAACTCAGTGAAGTGCTCAGTGAGGTTGTTTCTGATAACTTTAAAATGAATCTGGCAGAGCATATTATTATCGGCTAAAAGAATATCTTAGATAAGCAGAAACTAACAGGTTTTCAAAGTTTTAGCTAAATGACGGAAAATGGTTGAACCGCAAAGAGTTCTAAATTGTCTGAAATAAAAGTCTTTGTAATGTAAATGTGACTTTGTGGCAGGTGAAATGAGTCACAAATTATCTGAGCCACACATTTTCTATGGGATTGACATCTGGGCTTTGGGATTGCTAGTCAAAAGTTTTTCTTTTATTGTCTCTTGAATCCTGGGTCCCTTTGAATCCTGGATAGGAAAGATGTCTGACATAAGCCTGTATGCAGGTTATGCCTTTCTATATTGATCCCTGAATGAGGGAACAACTGCAACTACTGTCTCTAATACTTTGTTACTATATTTGACTTAGAGTCCTGGTCCATCTCGAAGACACATTTTTGCGAAAGTTTAATTTTCTCGAAATGTTACTTCAATGCTTATACATGTTTTTTTTCTCTTGAGCATAATATCTGTTTTGTGACGTGTAGCTAAACAGGAGGCTACAATTTTAGTGGCTGAGATGCTGTTCTTAGATTTAAATATTATCTAATATTTCTCTAAATGTAACAACGATCAAATTTAGCAATTAAAATTCAAATTGCCCATCACTCTATGGTCTTATTGGGGACTAAGAACACATTCTTAAACAGGTTTGACTTTAAATTTCTATTTTTTACTCTTAAAATAACACTTTAAGAGTGAAATTTAACACCAATCTGAGTGCATTTGGTCCACCTCTAAATCTGCGTTAAATGTATTAATAATATTTGGATTTTTATTTATCTCACATTGGAGGAAATTTACCTTTGCATTTAACCCATCCCCTCGGGGAGCAGTGGGCTGCCACTGCCATTGACTAAAGGAGTCAATGAACTTTGACGCTGCATATTTAACTCTGTGGAATTTACTGTGTACAGTTTTTTTTTTTCATATCAAATTAATCTTTATGTATTTAAATACTATCAACAGAACCTGACAGGAATCAATTTCTTATTTATTTATTTTTTCTTTCTTCCTTTTTTGCAGATGAGGCCACTCGCATAGAAAAGTGTGGACTGACGTGGCTTGCACTTGTTCTTTCAGTCACAGCAGGACTGACGTGAAACTGCTTTCCCAAGACCCTTTCGCCACACATCACAACACACATTTTGCCCATACAGCACCCAATATTCAAATATGCTTACAGAAAAACACACATACAGTTCTGACACTTTCCAGAACCCTGCAAGCCTATTCAAGTCATCAACAGACAACTCTTTTCATCTGTCAAACAAGAAACAGTGCCACCACATGAAGGTGCTTCACTGTTTTTTACAAATTATATTCAAGATAATACAAAAAGAACAAAGTAAAGAACTCTACAGTTACCGCGTCCTATATAGTTCCATCCTATTACCTTTTTTTCTGTTTCTTGTCCCCCGTCTGCCTGTTGATAAAATAAAATCTGATGATTCAAAATGAAGATGAAAAAAAATTATTTTTCTTTCTTTTTTTTTTTCTTTTTTCTTTGATAAATAACAATATTATTGGTGTTTAGTGAAATGTGGACAAATGGAACCGGCATTGACTGACTGCACTATCCTATCAACCAATCCCATCTATTACATTTCCTGGAATGGACCCGATTAGCAACAAACTGATAAGTCATGGGAGAACAGACCTCCAGATGTCCAACAAAGCTATATATATATATATATATATATATATATATATATATATATATATATATATATATATATATATATATATATATATATAATATATATATTTCTGATGGCTTGGAATGTACAAGAAGATTTCAATACATTGACAGAACTGGAGAAATCTCTTTTTTGAGTGTATTTTGTGTACTACAGTGTAAATACTAAAAATAATTAAAGAAGTTATATGGTTGATGTTGAGGAATGGGTGCTGAGGTTGTTGGAGTATGCTTCTCCAGCTTTGTTTGTACTTCATTGAACTTTCAGATACAATTCTTGATTGAGAGGAAAGAAAATACATCCTTTCTGTTTGTCACTTTGGCTTTTTATATGAATAATCTGTTCTCCATGGACAGAGGTAAAAAAATAACAAAAAAGTCCATATGTCTGTTTTCTGGGGTTGTGGTGCATGTGACTTTTCAAGATTCGTTCTCCTTTTCATGTGTTGCAAGTGACAGCACTGCAGCTCTTTGTCACTAGCCTGTAACCCAGCTATTTACTTGTGACCTACATTGTGTACAATGCGTAACTCTTCCCCAGACAGTACCAATCAAGTAGGATCATTTTAGCCGCCGTTCCAGGGAGGAGCTCACAAGAGGCAGCTTGTGTAAACAGGGTTGTTGCATTTGTTTCATTTCACCTGTATTAAAATGGAGAGATGATAAACTCACAAGCCTTGACTTTACTTACAACTGAGCAAGTGTTGGACATGTTTCTGAGAGATATATTATGTGAAACATTGCATATTCTGGAAAGGTTACTGGAATTCAGGATGATCAGTTTCAGTTTATCCCAGCAAATTAGAACATGCAAATTGAGATGTTTTATCTATTGCTTATATAGAAAAGCATCTTATTTTAAAATGGACCTTTTGTTTTATTCTATAATATCCTCACATTTTCTTAAGTCTTTGCTAAGAAATTGAGGGTGGGGTGGGGTGGGGGGCATTGGGGTAAATTTAGTTGAATATAAAGTACAGCTATTGGATATAGCTGCATTCCGATTTTATTGCTACATTACACAAACATTAAAACATAGAGTTTCAAGACACATTTTCCTGTTTTATACTATTGAGGGTGTGAAAGGACACTAATTCTGGTCTATCCACTGTGAAGAATTATTACATTGTAATTTTGTTCAGTATGCAATTTTCTGCCTTTTCCTTTGCATTTATCACTAACTTCATATTGAAGGTGGGGAAATGGCTCAATTTATGAACGCATTAGAATATGCAAATTGTCTTGACCTGACTTGATCATCTTGGCAGAAGAAGCACATTATAACTGTCTATCTGTGTGTGTATGAGGATTGTACAGTTGTTGTCCGCAATTATTTTTAAAATTTTCCCTTTTCTCTCCTCTTCATGAACTTAGACCAAACAGGCAATAAATGTGACATTTTTGAACAAAATTACTTTTCTGCCACTTAGAGAGAAGGTTGTTCTATTTAATCCCATATTTGCTGTTTCCTAGTAGAGTTATGGACAGTTGGAAACTGTGTGTATAATCTGAGCCTGAGGGCTTCTGTAATTTTTTTTAATTTAACTGGTTTGTCAGAAAAGTCCTACCAAAACAACGCTTAGCTCAATGGTTAACTGGGACATCATATCTGTTTCAAGCTATGCTGACAAGTGTAGCAATTGCAGGAAAAAGCTGGAAGATCCAATTAAAATGTATCTTTTAATTTATATTCTCATGTTGTCATCCTCGGAACAACTATAACAGATGGTGTAAGTGAGAAGTCCAAGTCTCTCACATACAAAAGCCTGTTGATGACAATCACATTCTTGCTTTATTTCTGCTGGTAGCTATAGTGAGAATAAAAAGCTGCCTTCTTGGACTATATGTTAATTTTTCTGACATACATGCGTGCAGACTTCATTTTCCTTTTTTTGTCAGCAGGCTTGGCTATCAGATGATCATAACACACACACAGCTGACAGGACACCTGACACACCCTCTGAATGAATCCCTTATAGCGATCTTTATAATTCTCCACAGAGAGCTGGTAAAATAAACACTGTTTTGTTGTGTTTTTATTCCTGATTGTAGGCTTGCTCTTGTATGTTATCAAAAACCACAGATGACACACTTTCAAAGTGGTGAGTGACATGTTTCATGTATGAAAGAAATTCATGTTTGCATCAAGTGGAAAAGCACCGGCAGCTTTCACAATGGAAATTCGTTTAATGGTGTTTCTATTCTCATGGCTAACTGACAGATGTTTTTAAATTGCTGACCAAGTTACATTTACCTTTTTGCAGCCCTCCCATCTCTCTTTATGTTCCCTTTTCTGAGATAGTAGTTTAAGTATCTTTGCAGGCACAGGGAGGAACCTTTACTCTCTGTCATAGCTATGCAAACAGACATATCCTGGTTATTAAGCATTTGCTAAATGCAACCTATCATAACTCTCCACCCCTTATTCAAATAGGCTTTGTTCCAGCAGCTCTAAACACAGTAGGAGGTTAGAGTACTAGCCATATATTTTATGTATTTAACAATTTTTCAAAGCAAATTATTTCATTAACCACTCAATGGTATTTGAACACCCAAAGGGTTTAATCCAGCACTTCAAAAGACAATTTTAAATTTGTTAAAGATCAACATTTTAAGGTGACACTTGGGTGGTTTTAAGAAGAACAAGAGCGTGTTAAACAAAATAAACATTTGCCCATTGGAATTTGGATACTCCGTGGATTGGTATAGAAAGTACATCTGACTAGTAAGAGGTGGTGCATAAAAACGCTCCGCCTCTGCAAAGCAAGGGATGCAAATTGCTCCTCTGTAGCTATCATTTTACACTAGATCCTTTGGGCAGAGGTTTAGTCATTGGATCACAACAGCTCTTTTACGATGGAAACCAGACAGCTTCAGTCAGCTGGGGCATTTAGACTATAACTATTCAAGAGGCTTAGTCAGCCGAGCTTTGCTCATATAGCTCTTCAGCTATGCCTATTGAAGACCTGCGTGACCAGTTTGACATGCAGCTGCTGCTGAAACTTAGTTTCTCTGCAGCTGCTGTGTTATTGGTTTCTTGGGCCTACAGATTCTACAGATCCAAAGACGTGAAAGAAACCACGCCCTGTGGTGGGGAAAACACAGAGATACAGAATACTGCCAGCCATGAATACAAGAGGACACGACAGAAGTTGTGTTTTCAAGACAAGGATGATGAGAGGAAGCATGACTCAGCTACTGATGACTTGAAATCTGACAGCACCCACGGAATACACGTTAAATTTCCATTACAACAAGTTGATAAGAGCAAGGAGGTATGTAGCCCATCAAATATTGATCAAAATAAATGCATGGACAAGGAAATGCTTCAGAAGGATCTGCCAACTATTTCCTGTTCTAATATTGCATTTGAATCTGCTTTGGAGATCCATGATCCAACAGATGATAGAATGACAGCTATCACTGGACGTCGCTCCCCTTGCTTTTGGACAAAGCATGAGGGTGGTGTGGGTGTTGGCAGAGAATTAAGGCAGGACTTAGAGCACCAGGGGGTCTACTCCAGTTTCCTCTCTAAGGCAAAGATCAAGGTAGAAGATGCCACAGTAGTACTGGATGGATCAGGACACAAGATTGTAAACGGGAAAATATACGACTATTACGTTGAGTCCAAATCTCATTCAGTTAAAGATTCAAAACCTTTGCTTGCCCATTATGAGAGGAACACTGTTACAAACAGGACCTATAGAAAAGAAAACATAAGCTTCAGTGATTCTCCTTCATCTGGAAGTCCTATCATTATGCGTGATCTCGTTCTTCCATCAAGCTCTGCTGCAGAGGACTTTTCAGAAGGAAGCCTGAGGCACCCCGAAAGGCCTTCAGGCCTATACAAGGAAAGCTATGAGTCTGCAGAACGACAGTTGGCCACTTCCTTTCCATTTCAGGTTTCAAGAAACTCACCCCCAGTGACTCCCTCTAGGACCCCATCAAGCAATGACTCTGTGTTTCTTCAAACCGCAAAAGATAAAAAAGAGGTTGATGTCGAGAATAGTGCTTCTTTCATGCAACTTCCAGCAGAAATCTTCCTTGGCACAGATCTGGAAGTTCTAAAAAGTAATCTTGATCTTGGTAACTGTTTAGAGATACTCCATCAAGCCAAGAAAACTGGCCACAAATCTGTTCATCAGGCTGCCCTGGAGGTCATGTCAGACAACTACTTACAGGTGCTCAGGGACCCCACCCTTTATGGACAGCTAACGGCTAATGAGCGGGAAAGAATTAGGAGGCAGAGAATGAGAGGGCGAAGATTTGTCATAGTTGCAGATATGGTCCCTCAGGACTGGCTGAGAAATACAGCAGGACAGACTGCAAAATCAGAGCTGAGGAACATGTCTAGTGCAATGTACTATTATGATGACTACAAAGACGTCTGGCATTCTCTCTGTCTTATCCCACAGGAGGTCATCTCTAAAGCCTGTGCTATGTGCACAATGGATAACTACTTATTTGTGGCAGTAGGTTGTCAAGGCAGTGACAGAGAAATGATACCCTCAAAGCGAGTGTTTTGCTACAATCCTTTGACATCTATTTGGAAAGAGATCAGTCCTATGAATGAAGCCAGGCCCCGCTGCAAACTGGCAGCACTGGAGGGCTACATCTACGCCATTGGAGGGGAATGTCTCTCCTCTGTGGAGCGCTATGACCCCCGACAGGACAGATGGACATTTGTGGCCCCACTACCTAATGATACATTTGCTGTTGCACATCATGTCACTGTGTGCAGTGGAGAGCTCTTTGTTTCAGGGGGTACTCTTAGATATATGCTACTTCGCTACAACCCCCAGACAAACACCTGGAGGCCAAGTCTTATAGTGGGCAACAAAGACAAATCTATAGATATGGTTGCTGTGGGAAAATTTCTCTATCGATTTGAAGTTAACCCACTGCTGGGAGTCAGTGTTTACCGCTACCATACAGTTGCACGACTTTGGTATGAGTGCAGCTCAAAGCGACTGCTTCATTGCCCGGCCTTCCAGTGTATCGCAATGGATGGAACAGTTTACTGCCTCAGCCGACACTTCACCATGAAATTCGAGGCTGATGAGATCTCTCCTGCTTTTGCAGATGAGGAGATGAGTGTCCTCTCTAAAGCCAAGGGTTTACTGTTCCCCTTTGTCCTTTCACTACCTGATATGAATCCTCGACAGACAAGTGTATAAAAAGGTTTTAGATGTTTTTATTTTTCATAAGATGTTATAGCAGCTAAATACTTCTATAAGAGGATGTTTGAAACATGGGTAATAACTGGCAGAGGGAATTTTATTTTCTTGCAACTAATTACAAATCTGTAAACCTTGCATTTCCATTTATATGAAATTATATTTTAATACCATCGTCATAAAGCCACAATGCAAATGTTTCATAAACCACATTTTTTTTGGACTGGGTATTAAACAAAGATATGTGTTTTTTATGTCCTGTGCTTGGCAGTAGATTAAAAAGATTAGACTTTTAATGGTAGTCAGATTACTGATTGTTTAGATTTACACAGGACTTGCTGCCATGTTAATTGTTTGCTGCTTTGATTTGCCACTCCTTTCTCCCATTCTGGTAGTTTAATGCCATCCCAGATGCTTAACCTCTTTACTGAAAAAAGTAATTCATGAAAACATTCTAGTGTAAATTAGTTATCTAATTTTGAAGACTCATAGTTTATGCAATAAACTGATAATTTACCTCTGTGCTCATCTGTGTGAGCCATGGGTTTATCTTATGCATTAGTCTGGATACAATGCAATTATCTAAAGTTGCTCTTTAAAGAAATGACAGAGTGTAAATGGGTATGCCATGCAAATAAATTGTTAGCTTGCAAAACATTTTTTCACATTTTAATCTGTGACATTTAGCATTTTGCAGGTATTTGTCATTGCCGTAACAATCCTTTCGTTAAAAATAATCTGTTGGCTCAATGAGTAGAATAATTTTCTTATAAAAGTCAGATATCTTTCCTATGTAATCTATTTTTAATGAACATCAAATACAAATACAAAAGTATGTTTTACTACTTATGAGTCCATAGATAATACTTACCACCAGAGGTGGATAGTAACCAGTTACATTTACTCGGTTATATTTACTTAAGTAACCTTATGAAAAAAAATCTATTTTACGAACTATTTTACTTCATAATATGTTTTACTTTAATTTGAGTTATATAAGTTATATATCATAAATTATCGCTCCTCTTACTTGAAAGAAATGTTAGCCTACTCCATCGACCATGACTAACTTCACTGAATAACAAACAAGTTTGTTTCCAACAAAAGTGCTTTAAAAAAAGACATATACTTCCTATTTATGTCAAAATGAGAGTTCCTTTTTAATACATATGCTTACTATATATCTGGTAAACCCGTTATGACATTTGGAGGTTTAGCCAATAATAATAAATAAAACAATATTTTCCCTTGGGATATTTTACACTTTTTAACATATATACATTTTAAACTGTAAGAAGTTATGTTTTTCTTATGTTAAAAAGAAACTTTATTTGAAAAAGTGTTTCTTCTGCTTGGATTTGTTTGAAATACATTAGATGTGTTTGTTTTAATGATTTCATGATACTCTTTCAAATACCAGAGATTACAGATAACTACATTTAATCTGTCTTATTACATCATTTAAAACAGTAAATCATTATGATGAGTTACTAAGAATATGAGTAGGCTTTTTAGAAAATGGTTTTCTAAAATGGCTCGGATGGCTTCTTTCTACTCTTACTTGAGGAAAAATACAATAAAGAGTTGTTCCTCCAACTTGATTACAATTTGGGGTTCTCTGCCACCTCTGATTACCACCAAGAATGCCGTTTTTGTATTCTTGGTTTGCTTGTTTTTTGCCTTCAAACTGGAGAAAAAAACATAAATATTATCAAAACACAAAGATCTAACACAAGAATCTAAACATCATTAATATAAACAAAAAATATTTTCGAAGGAATTTTCTCAAACTACAAACTGAAGTTATATACCTGAATGACAGAGGGTGATATGCTGCTATAGCACCATCATGTGGTTTAGAAAGTTAACAAGCATGTACTTTGCTTGACTAGTTTTGTAGGTTTACCATAACACATGCATACATGGGACATATGAACATTTGTGCAGTAGAGTGACTAAACAATTACATGCCTACACAAGGAGGTAGCAGAAAGTTAAAAAAGGGTTGTATACACATTGTTAACCATAACGTAAAAGAATCTGATCCTTATAAAACAATGTCATTTTTTTTATGGAACACAGAATTAGAAATATGAATATTCATTTCAGTTTCTCTCTTATGAAGATGGTGAAGAGTGAAAGTGAAATATAATCCGGTATGGAAGTCCCTCAATAACAATATACAGAAATATTGTATGCACAAAGCCTCATGGGATTGAGATATGCAGGGTAGGATTGCTTCTTTTTCAATACTCCTCAAGAGGATTCCCATGTGACACCAGCAAATTGCTCTAACTAGCCTCTAAGTGCCTTTTAGTACTGATGATTTAACAGATTTTTCATGTCTGCTGAGTCTTAGCTGAAACTTGCTTTGACAAGGAGTTTTATCACAGGCCTTTATCTTAGCCATCAATATTATGCAAAACTCTACAATTTATAGAAGAAAACCCTGACTCACAGAGTTGTGACAGCTATTCAATTGATGTTAATGCCCTGAATGAGCAGTTAAGGGCTGACCTCAGCTCTCAGCAGGGCAGGTCTTCTCTCAAAGACGTCTGCATTAAAGTCCCACCGGGGTCTGCGGTCTACATGGATGGTGCTGTTAGCTATTGTTGGCTTCCGAGTGAACTATGTCAGAAGGAATAAACACACACAGACAGCAAAGAGCAATGAGGGAAGAGGGATATATATAGAGGCTAGAGAAATGAGCCCAGCTCTAAGATCAGCAAAGATCACATTTCACTATTGATCCACAGTGTTGCACCGTATTTTTAAAGTAATTTCTCCTCTGAAATTCTAAAACAGCAGCCGATCGCTAAACCTCTTCTTGATGCAATCAGTCTTTTATTTGAGCCCTTCCTAGTAGGAGACTAAGATGATGTTAGATGAACCAAGCTTCCTGAATAACCTCGCAATATATTGTAATACTGCTAACTGAGGTTCTAAATAATACAAAAACAATCAGGGCATAGTAGTATGATTTAGTTTCAAAAGAAGCTGATTAGTCAGTCTCTTCATTTTGATGGTATAAATTGAGTTCAGATAATAAAGTAAAAATTCTTGGTGTTATATGTGATCATGACCTGTCATTTATGTATATCAAAGAGGTTTCTAGAATTTCCTTCTTTCATCTGTGGAATATTAAAATCATTAGAAATATCCTGTCCAGGGGTGATGCTGAGAAACTAGTCGATGCATTTGTTACTTCAAGGGTGGAATATTGTAATTCTTTACTATCAGGAAGTCCCCAAACTGCAGTTAAAAGCCTCCAACTAAACCAAAATTCTGCAGCCATCAACAACTTTGTTTTTTAGATTGGCCTGTTTTCCAGTGTAGTCCTGTTTCTCTGACTGTGACTGGCTGGATGTGCTCTCTTCATCCTCTGACATGGGAGCTGGCACGGGGCTTGTCTGCCTGGCTGTGTGTTTCCTGGATGGGGCCGCCTTTTACAGCTGCTTTTTGTGTCTCTGCTTCCGTCTCCTTGAACCCCAGTCGGCCTCTGCAGATGGCCGCTCACACTGAGCCTGGTTCTGCTGGAGGTTTCTTCCTGTTAAAAGGGAGTTTTTCCCTCTCCACTGTCGCTACAAGCATGCTTAGTGTGAGGAATTGCCTTCGAGTCAATGAGTCGATGCAATCAACTGGTTTTCCTTAGATAGAAAACTTTGAATCAATTTGACTAAATTATCTGGTGAACTGAAAATTGCCTTGAGATGACATGTGTTGCAAATTAGCGCTATATAAATAACTTTATAAATAAATTGAATTGAAAATAGATAATCAGTATTTTCAGATAAAAGACAATTATATTTAGATAAACCTGCACTTTCAAATTACTGCAATCAATAGGTCAAGTGGTCAGTAGTTGCATTGACTTACCTTATCACACTTTCTGTTTCTATACCTCTCCCCCCCTTCCCCTCTGGTTCGTGTCCATTTATACCTTTTAATAGAGAATAGTGAGAGAATTAATCTTTTTCATCATTACAATGTCAAGTACAAGCAAAGAAATTCCCTCTTTGAATAGAACCCATCCCTGTGGGGAGCAGCAGGCTGCCAATTGCGGCACCTGGGGAGTAGTGTGGGGTTAAGGGTTTTGCTAAGGAACCCAGATTGCAGGCTGTGTGGATTTTACCTGGTACTTGACACCTTCTCAGAGCACAAGGCTCTAACCACAAGGCCAACACTCCCCATAACATTAGGGTAAAATCAAACATAATACCATTCTTTACCCGATGTCAAATATTTTTAGACAGGTAAATCTGATGACTCTCCTTTGCTAGGCTGTTAAATCAAAAAGATAACATGAAGATTTATCCGCGTGATCCCTTAGTAGAGGAATAAAGCTAAAGCTTTGTTGCCATGGATACAGCAAACACTAAAAATAAGGCAAGCTGTGTTTACTGTTGGCAGAGGGAGATGTCTTACATCTTAAAAAGAAAGGCATACATACCTTTGGGTTGAGGCATTATGTTTACCTTTTTGTAGTAATACCTTATTTATTGATATAATTGCCACCGTGTTGGATATTCTTCAAGGCAAATTCTATGATGGCCAATGTTGGATTAAAGCAGGTTTTCATAAACTCTTGAAGAAGATTGAATATAGAATTCATTTTATTTACTATCTACAAAAGAAAAACAAAGATTAGATTCCTGTGATTTATTTGCTGGAAACCAGTTATCGCATTTTATCAGATGACTAGAGGAGCAAAGAGTTTTAGAAAATAAGAGTCATTTGTCAGTAAAACAGCAAAGGCAAAATCTTTTAATTCAAAACTAGCATTTTTCTCCTAAACATTTTCTAGGAGTGTGTGCTTATAAGAACCTTGTGCATGGCACTATGTTGGACAAAAAGAGACACTTTCCATAGCAAGACCTTAGCTCAGTGGGGCGATCCTTTTGAGCTCTTCTCTGAAAACACACAAGCATCCAAGTTGTGCAGAAAATAGCCTGCCATCCAACCTCAAAACAATATGGCCACAGCAGGATTTCTCTGGTATAAAGGCAAGTTGAAATATGCCATCTGCAGGAACTAGGTAGATTAGGACCTGAGTGCAGGGGAATGGCAGATGTCTGCCCTATCTCCCTGCCAGCCTTTGGCACAGGATGGTTGCCAGGGAAGCCCCTGTGCTGTCTTTTCTGACTGCAGCTCTGTTAGAACCCAGCCTAAACTCTGTCACAGTCATAGACAGGAAATGACACGTTCCAGGCCTACAGCCATCCAGTAGTGTCCCTGTGGTCAGGGGCTAATTGTTAGCTAAGAGGTGTGAAAGGGAAGAGAGCAACACAGTTAGTTGTTGCATGTTTCAGTTATACCCAAGGTAAAATGGGAGACTGACCTGAAGTAACATCATAAAGTTGAACTCTGTTTGAATATCTTTGAATAAATGTTTTTCACCCTGATGGATAGATTTCATATAATTTTTTTACATAGTCAAGTTTAAGTACATTTGAACTATTTTTTTTTTTCGTTTGTTTTTTTTTTCATTTGAAATGTATGACATGGCTTGTTGTCTTGTGAAAAAAAGAAAAATTCAAAATTATTAAAAGATTAATAACATAATATGTATGATTGACTTATTCATTCATTGTATCATTTAACTTAAATTCATTTCTAAACAAAAATAGGTTGATTAAATCTTCAAAAAATATCAGATCTGTTGACATGTCATGTATTGCATTCTTTATGACTATTGACATTTAAAAGCAGTGGCTGTGTTCTAATCCCTGATAAAAGGGTTTGTATGGGAGGTGTGTTTCGTAAGTTTAAGCCTTTTTTTTTTCCTTCTTTAAAAAAAAAAGTTTAAGCCGTTTTTAAAACACACTTAGGTATCATTTCCATCAGAACTGGAAATTTCTTTTTTTGGCAAAGTTAAAGTTCTCCAAGGCATTTTTTATGCTATAAATATATCTATAAATAATTTAATCATTTGATTTTGACTAAGAACACAGACTTTTTCATGTAATACAACCTTTACATTTTGTTATCTTTGACCTACTCATTTTACTTAAAGCTTTGCAGGAAATATATCACTAGTCCTGCCATGTACAAGAACAATGAAGCTAGCTCATTGGGAGGGAAAGGTAAGTTTATTTATATGGGACATTTCATTGGTAAGACAATTCAACGTGTTGTACATGAGAAAAAAAGTGAGAGAAAAAATAGAGATGGATTAAAAAATTAGGAATACTTTAAAAACTAAGATAAAATAAGAAAGTATATAATGATTGATAATTTAAACGATTTTCAGTCAATTTCAACCCTTTCTATACCCTAACCATACTGTAGCAATAACCCTAGCCCTAAGCATTGCACCCAATATATACATATATACCTATTATTAACCTAAACTCAATTCACATCTTTGTCCCAAAATAGGAGGTTAGGACCAATAAAATAGCATCAGTTTAGAACAAATGGTTCTCACTTTGGTGGCAAAACTGAAAAAATGGTCCTCACTCCAATGCCAAATCAGAAACACACATACACATGCCCAGAAATGTAACTATTGATGTAGCTGACCAGATGACCTATGCTAAAACAATATTGTATCCAGTATTGACATCAGGGGAAGCACAGACTTACAACAAAAGAGAGATATGGTAAAAACAAACAAGAAAAAAGTATTCTTGACTAGTAAAGTCAAACTGAAGGTTATTCTGTCTGAGAGAGTGTGTTTAGTATGACAACATCAAAGAAGGGAAATACACGACTTTGTGTCTCTGTGCAGCTCTGGTAGACGTGATTTCTTATCTGAAATTTCTCTCATCTTGGTTTTATCAGTCGTTGGAGGACAAAAGAAGGACAGCAACATGTAGCATAATAAAAGAGTTGGATTTTTTTAAACTCTTGTATCTAGTAAAAACATTCTTTTTTTTAATCAAAAACAATACCATTAAAGAAACACAATGAGCTCCAATCCTGCTGATCCACAATTGCCATGCCAACAAACAAACATGAGCTGTGCAGTTTACCACTCTTTGAAACCCCCCGAGGAATATCTGAATTCATCCGGTCAGAGTACACAAGGCCAATTACAAGAAAAATGAGGGCTGCTGCTGGAGGAGCAAAGCCAATTATTAAAATTGTTGAGCAAGTGTCCATGGTGTAGCTGGTCTGCTTTGCAGAGGGTAAGTCACAAGGGAACTTTTTCTTCATCTACCTGTTTACACTTTTTCCCTATCTATATCTCTGACAATATATTCTGATTTTGATTTTAAAACTGAACATCTCTGACAGCCTGATGCAAGGCAAAAAATTATTCTGCTATATATAATATATTGCAAGGCTGTTTTGTAACACTACTTGCAGTTGTTCATATAAGTCCCAGCTTTCCAGGGTTAACTACAGCACAGTATTAGAGAACCCTATATAGAGCTGCATTCCAGTGGAAAGATTTTCACACATATTTGGAAAGTTGCAGTTTGAGGCATTTCAGCACTTTTTTAATACTCTTGGTTTGAAGAGAAATTCGTTCATTTCAAAATCCTTTTGCTGCAGGGTGCCTTTTTATTGTTGGGTATGAGTGACAAGGAAAAAATCCTGAAACTTCCTCATGAAGCCTGTTCGGAAAAGCTTATATCTGAACTTTCACCACAAATCTGTAGATGGCAGTGATAGCCTGGGTATAAATGGATGGGCTGCACCCTCTTATACATACTCATATTTCTGTCTTGTGCTATATGTTTTTAGGGCTAGAGCCTCTTTCAGTGATATAGACAGAAATATATTATGCAATGAACTGTAATGGAAAAATGAATAACTTGAAAAAACCTTTGATGAGAACATTTTATAAAGTGTATACATTTCTTTACATTCAAGAGGTTTTAAAATTAAGAACAGCATCTGGACAGAGGTTGTCCCAGAGTTTGCAGCAAACCCCCGAGAGTCCCTCTGCTTCCCCTAAGTAGAGCAGCCTAACACAAAGCAACCATTGTGAGGTTGCTCTTTAAAACCTTCACAGTTGCTGAAAAAGCATTCAGTTACTCTTGGTAAAAATCACAGAGGAAGTGCCAAGCATCACAGACTGGAATTTTGTCTGAGACACATTACTCATACTCATATTAGAATAAATGTAGTCTTCATCATATATATATATATATATATATATATATATATATATATATATATATATATATATATATATATATATATATATATATGCATGAGCTAACTATGCAACTGCCTAGCTGACTATGTAAGACTTTGTAGACTACTGTGAAAAGTATTTCATCCATCTCAAATGGTTGTTTTTTTTAATGATCAAAGATAGCTTAGAAATCAAACAAGCAATCCTAAATATACAAAAAATGCTATCCAAACTAATGAACTGTATGAAAATGTAATGTAATAAATTTGAACTAAATCTAAACAATTCAAGAATAATTGAGAAACACTTGTTAATATGTGTTTGGAAAAACATTGAATTTAATAGAAATATGATTTCTGCTTATTTTTGTAAAATCCAAGTTTGAAGGAATTTGCTTTTTTAGGTCTGGACCTTGACCCCACCCCCCTTTCATAAATAAGCTTTAATCTAAACAATTTTATAAGAGTTCTGGCTGTATATATTTGTGGTTAACTGTCCTGCTGAAATGTGGAGCTTGGCCCTTTGCAGCTTTTCACAGATTTTCTACCAAGATTGCACTGGATTAGGTTCTTCAGATATTTTAGTTAATTTTGACCATCGTCCATGTCACTGCTGAAAAAAGGCATCTCAAGATGATACTCCCATCAATATGAGTCATCACAGAAATTTTTTAAGGCTTTGCAAACCTAGTCCATTCAGTTTTTCATATCATTTTGGTCTCATAGTGCCTCCTTTTGGCTCTCTCGTGGGCAATCTTCAAGTGAATCCAGATTTGTGAAAGTAATGACTAATAGATTTACAATCTATATATTGTTCTTCCTGAGCTGAAGATCTCCTGAGCTTCATCCCAAAATCATTGGTCCCCTTCAGCCTGTTTCAGTTTATGAGGACACAGTCTTTTGTCTTTTTACAGTAAGACGTTAAGTAAGCAGACATGTATGGGTTTGCTTATTGTTTTTCAAGACACTGTTTGTCGAATAATATTCTCTATCTATCTATCTATCTATCTATCTATC